ACTGTCACCATCGCCACATCAAATGCTAACGCAACACCTGTTGCGTTAAGGAAACCTGGGAGATTTAACATTACAATAATGGCAGGTTATCGAAATATAATTGAAAATGGCCACATTACATTGAATTCGATGCAATATATTCGCAAAAGTAAAGGAAAAATAAATAATACTTTTTTTTAAATAACGCAATGAAATTATTTAGGGGGGCTAAAGACATTTTTAGGGAGGCTGAAGCCACCCTAAAATAGGCCTAATGACGCCGATGTGTTGGACCATATATGACAGCCGACACGACGCTCAAAGTCAGACGTACACGTTTTTCTGATAATCTGTGTGTTTTCCGTTTTGCCCAAATATATATTTTTATTCAAGCGAGGGTGAGGTCTGGCTTGTTTCGGTAGGCGGCATGTGTCGCCAGACGCACTTCCTTATAAACACTGTGTGGCGGGCTTTTGCTGCGTCGACGCCCCCTGGACTGAGTCGACTCCGCCTGCTTCACGCAGCCTGGACTGTGTCAGCGCAGTTCACGTGTTGATCACGTGATCTCATGAAGCGGCACACGCACCGACGAGTGGATTGCTCTGTGAGCCCGACGCATGCGTCAACGCATCGGTGTCGCTGGACCCATCACTAGTAACTAGCATCATTTGTTCATTTTTGTATGAATAAATTCGTTTTGTTCAATTCCATCTGAGTCCACGTTTGGAGAGTCCGATTCTGTTCCGGGCCCTTCCGGAACCGTAACAAAGTTGCCATGACAATCAATCAATCAATGCTTTATCTTCGACATCCTCCTCGTTGTCTTATGGTGCATTACTGCTATCTCCTGAAATGGGACGATGGGTCTGCATAATATATAACCTCCTATTTAACCCGACTGTTCCCAAAAATTAAACGAGTATTTTAAAACTTACCTCACAAGAATTTCTCTGTAAGGTCTCAAGTATTCAAATGTATTTTCTAATATTTGAGCTCATTAAGTACTTGAGGTCGTCCACATTCGAAAATTGTGCTCTAATGTCTCTTTGGTGCATACCGCCATCTACTGTACATATATAGTCAACGCAGTCTACGCAAGCAAGCGTGCTGTTGACCATTTTAACCTTGACAGGTGAGTGTGGGGGGGTACTTTGCCGGACTGAGAGGTCTGTTTGTGACGATAACGCTGACGGATGAAAAGCTACCTCTGTTCGTGCTTGATCTTTTTTTTTTCTGTTTTTTTATGGCAGAGGTGTAAGAACATCATTCGTGACTGACTGACGGACGGACCTTTGCATCAGTACTGACGGAATGCCCACTACTGGTGGAAAAAAATGAGTTAAAATATTTCAACGACTGCCTTTGAATAAATTATTTTATTTGTAAAGAGACTATATACAGAGAGTGAGAGAGAAGCAGATGTGAAAAACGTCTGATAAACAACAAAAAGAATGCATATTTTTCTCCTTTGAAACGTTTTCCAGAATTCATTTTATTTCATGACGTTGTCTCACTGTCACCCAAACCACACATTGCAAGTTGCTGAGGACCTGTATGCATGTAAAATGGATCAATAAAAAGAAAAACCATGACACAGAAACTCAATAGATGTGCATGGACAAAATGCATCATTTTTAATGACTTGCCAAGTGTTTTAAAATTGTAATTACTGATTTGTACTTGACAGATAAAACAGTGATTGTGCAAAAATACTTGAGGGGTATGAATTCATAGAATTAAAACGACGTTTGAGTACAATTCATCCAATGTCCATTACTTTGCCTTTTTTCCACTTTTTCACTAATCGCCACGCAAAACAAGTCAAGCACTGAAAAATGCAGGCACGTTCTAAGGCAACACGTGAACTAAAAACGGTATGTATGGGCCTCTAGAAGCCTCTTACTTCAGAAATCCCGCACCCCATAAAACGTCAAAACTAACAAATGACTGTGAAATAGAAAAAGACAAAAAAAAAAAATTCAAAACAATGTTTAGATCAAATATAAAAATGTTTAAAATGTGGAATCCACAGCTTCTCTTATTTGCTCGGAAAGGTTATCGGGTGTTGTTGTTTTGTTTTTTTTGCATCCTGGTGGACACGCAGAGAGTTGTTCTTTTTCTAAGGAACGCAAACGTATGACCAAGAAACAACCATCTCTGAACCAAATACTGAATGTAAAGTCCCCGAAGTAATTCATCATGGTCTCTGCCAGGACAATGCTGAATAGAAAAAGAGAGGTTGAATATAAATACACTGCTACACCTAAGGGCGGGGGACGGCATCCACACACACTTCGTAGAATAGGTGCCAATTATCCTTCTAAACATTCCATGAATTCCGCACGCGATCACGTTGAAGAGCAGCCTTGCTTTTTTTTTTTCTTCTTCACATTCTCGAGGACGATTTCGCCATCGGCTGCTAAAAGGGTACCAGAGAATGCTTAAGGAATGAAAAAAAAAAAAAAATCCATCAACTGGTCTGCCTATGAGGCCCTGAGAGCAACCTGTAAAATACACAAACCACCCTCACCAACCTGCTGTCACACTCAGCTGCAATAGAAAGCAAAACTCCATACCGAAGCCCTGTGGAGGCTCCGGGATGCAGTGATTGTTTGGTCTGCAGTCACAGATTATACTGTGAGTATGTGCAAATATTATGTACAGAAGACACCTTTCTGCTGGACAGAGGCAGACACTACAGTGTGACATGCAGGGTATACCAGCACTGAACTGGTGTGTGTGTGTGTGTGTGTGTGTGTGTGTGTGTGTGTGTGTGTGTGTGTGTGTGTGTGTGTGTGTTTGCGCACACGCATTTGACTTTACGCAGGAGACCAGGTGTCCATATCACAAAGTTCCCTGTCTCTTCTGTTGCTGGACCCGAATCAGCTCCAGCTGTTTTTTGCACTTCTGGTAGTATGTGGACAGACTCTTGTTCTCTTCCAGTAGTTTTTTGTGTTCCTGCACCAGACGGGACGTGTTCTGCTGGTCCTTCTCATCTTGGTCCAGTTCAGCAAAGAGTTCCTTTCTTCAAAGATGACAATGGAGGAAATTGAAGAAGCAATCTTATTTACTCATTTCTCGTAGAAGACCAGTAGAGTGGAACCTCGTTTTCACAACAATTAGGTTGACAGTGGACCCTCACGATACGTTTGGTTTGGTTTTTGCGGATTCACTCAATTGCGACCATAACTTTTTGCATTTTCTCTTGCTATCTTTCTTATGTCTAAGTCACACCAGTCAAGAAATGTTTTTTTTCCCTTTTTTTATTTTAAGGCACAGGTGTCAAACTCAAGGCCCGGGGGCCAAATCTGGCCCGCCACATCATTTTATGTGGCCCGCAAAAGCAGCTCGAGCATGTCAACTTCCATGATCCTTTCTAAAATGTCTACCAACATTTTTAAATCTCATATGTAATAAATAAGAGATACATTTGAAGCACTTTCTTGTTACCAAACCCCAAATAAGGTACAATTTTATTGTCAAATGTGTTGTATGTGCAACATACATCGTAACTTAAACAAGAGTTGAATCAACAGTTATTCTTGACTTTTTTTTTTTATATGGTTTCAGTCATATCGGCCCTCCAAGTGAAACGGTAACTAAAATGTGGCCCGCGCCATGAGTTTGACACCCCTGATTTAAGGAGAGAGTTGTTTTAAATTAGAATTGTTTAAAATCCAAGGCAATGAACATGAGGGTGCGTTCACAAATTCACTGACGCCCGTCAGTGACACGACTGTATGTGTGTGTGTTGTGTATGTTCGGAGAGGCAGGGCACAGTTCCCCTCTTGAACTGCTTCCATCTGGACTGCCGGATGTACTGGCACGCCATATTTCCAGTTAAAGCGGCAAAAGCGCACACCAGCGCTTGATTTTTGGTGCCCTCGGGATAAACTGAAAGGCACATTTCGACAATGCTCTTGAGTTTCCCAACAGTTTAAGTCAAGCAGTGTGAAGCTGAGAATATTTCCAAACACGCCCGAGAGGTCGTCGGCCGCCCCAAAGCTCTGTTCCCTCATCGTGGGTACGAACGGAAAAACAGTCTGTTCACGCTACTTCACTTGGACCGTTCGGAACCTCAGAACGTTGCTCACATGTGCCGGTCGGTTATTCCGAGTGCCCCCAAAAACGGGCGCCCAATGCAGACAGTAGAAGCCGGAGAGTAAACGGCTAAAATTGTGAGCGGAGCGTGTGCTCTGCCTCCAACAGCAAAAGGGAATGACGAAACTTCAGCAAATAACTATCTGGAATGTCATGAATATCTGGTTGCATTTTTTTCGACAGCGTTGCTTGACTTACTTCCTCTGGATTAGCAGGGCGATCTCTGTTTGCACTTTCAGATACTCTTGCGCCATTTTGCAATGCTGCTCAAAAACGGCCATGGACTCTTTCGAGTTGGGGAAAGGAGGAAGTGGCTGGAACACGACGCAATGGTGCGGTTATCACTTTACGTTGCAAATATGCATTATGTCAGGAGGTGATTCCAATAGCAACATTTTATAGATATAAAACTGAATTTAAAAATATATACCTGCAGTTGATGGTCAAGGGTGAGGTAAGCCATTGGAATTGAATTGTCCGAGCCGTTGGTGTCTACGAAACAAAGTGGTCATGAATCTGCAGGAATCTCTCAAGGAATATGCTTGCCGTTATCACCAACCGTTCAATAACCGACGATGACATCATTGTAAGTTTGCTGATCAAATGTTTTTCTTTATTAACTCGAACGGCTGCAGTAAGTACCTGTGGGGTCATCGGGGGAGAAGTAACCTCTGCTGTTTGCCTTTTCGGGCAGCATCATCCTCAAACTGGGACTCGAAGATCGGCTACTGTTCCGACTTCCCTGCAAGAGGACGTAAATGACTTGTATCAAGGATGTTATTTATCCACAGGGTTGTGCCAAAAGGGACAAGAGACAAATTGCACGCATCATAAAGTTTGACACAACTGAATAACTTTGGACATGAGCCATCACAGACATTTTTTTGAGAAGGAGTGCAAGAAATCGTTGGCGAGATAACAGCAAAAAGCAATCCCTGATTAGACTTTACGGAGCATGAAATGTAACCAAGACAAATGGGATGAATTGTTTGTTCGGGGTCATTCCATCTCAAGATATTTTGATTCTTTTTTTAGGGTCCGCTGCGAGGTCCCTATTGGACAAACCCCAATTCCAATTCAGTTGGGATGTTGGTGTAAATAAAATATGAAGAGCGAAGACAATGATTTGCAAAAACTTTTCAAACTCTTTGGGGATTTCTTTTCTTGCCCTCCTGGGAGGTTAAGACCAGGGGACATTGTTAATAATTGCCCACTGTGGGGTTGTGAAGCCCTTTGAGACTTTCTGTGATTAAGGGCTAGGACTTGACTTTGGTCAATTGAATACACTATAAAGGCAAGACATTTCATGTTCAAACTGATGCATGCCCCCCCCCCTCCAAACACTCCCTCATTTTCAATTTGATGCCTGAAACACATTGCCAAAAATATGGGCCAGATGTGTGGGTATTATTTTTTGCAAATTATTGGCCAATCTAAAGTGTTGAAAGTGGGTTGCTCTCTTTTATGATGCAACATTAATGGTTGAGGTATAAGGATTCGACGGCAACAATATTTATGATTTGTTTTTTTTTTCTTTTTCAAATCAGTTCCTATCGTCTCATTTATATAAATCAGGTTATGCAGTATTACAGTTGAAATGTTTCCAGATATTGGCATCATTTGTGAAATTTTGATTTCAGTCACAAATGCCAGAAAAAACTGCTTGGAATGCAGAGAAAACCCCACAAAAATAAACTTCAGCTGAATTTCAGGCTTCTCTGTAAACAAGTGTTTTTTGCCTTATGACTTGTTTTCTTGATGGAATGCTGCACATCCTGCAAATTCTGTCAGGGAAAGTAAACCTATTGTGCGCAACTGTATGAAATTAGATACCAATACAATTAGGGCAGCTGTTTTGGATATAGCAGAGATGAAAGTGGACTTTTCTGAAAATCCTGGATAAATAAACAAACAAACAAACAAACACACACACACACACACACACACACACACACACACAACTGGCCGATCACGCATGAATCAGTTTACCCAAAACGCTATTCAAATACTCGACATTCAATGACGAATCTTCCTTTTGTGTGCACATGTGCACCCTTTGTGGCTTCCGTTCTCGACGAAATTTCGAAATCTCCGAGAAATGGCGAGGCCATGAGAATGCGAGGCGAGGTTATTACTGTTGTGGCGACGCCACTCAAGCTCAGCGAGCCGCAGCAGTAGATAGTCCGCTGCTCCCTGCTGTGCGTGCTTCAGCGCGAACACGTACGCAAGCGCGTCTTTTGATTTCAACCAATCAGCGCCGACGCAAAGACGACACACAACCGACGTCACACAAGACAACAGCTAAGCTAAGCTCTAAATAGCTAGAAACGTTCTTGACTATGAAAAAAAACCAAAAAAAAAAAAACCAGCTAAGCTAAGCTAGCCGAGACGACACTCGAAGTCGGACGGACACGTTTTTCTGCCAATCTGTGTGTTTCCCTTTTTGTCCAAATATATTTTTTACGACAACTGTCTTGTCCACGGTGTCGTTTGTTCGTTCCATTGGGGTTTAGCAAGTGTGTTTATAAAGAGACGAAAATCTCTTTACTGTTACTAGTGTTCGTGTCTCAACATGGCTACACTTGTGAAAGCAAAACAACGAATTCAAACGCGTCGTCGTTCAATGTTGTCAACTAATATCCGGATTCATTTTAGGCAAATTTTCCTCAATTCTCCGGAGAGATTTTCATAAAAATTTAAAAAACCCGGAATTCTGGAGGACTTTCATCTCTGATATAGGAAAGACTTTACCTGACGCTGGAGGAAACGCTCCTTTTCCATACATTTAAAGTTTCACACCTCCACGATGGTTTGACTTACCTGGGTGGATTCCGTGCCAATCCCTGGCAAATCCTGTACAGAGCGGCGCCTCTGAGGCTCACATGTGGCTGTGAACATAGGTAGAAAAAACAAGGACAGACAAAAAAAATAAAAATAAAAAAGTCCTTTTAGTCTGTGTCATATGTAGTGCATGACAAAACATAAGCTTTTACATTGGGCACTGTCGGTTTGAAAAAAAAAAATCACATCTTATGTTTGAGATTTTGTTATTGACCAGAATGTAAACTATGGTATTTTCACGACCATGCGGCGCACCGTATTAAAAGGCGCAGTGTCATTTACGGTTGCTATTTCTGTATTTAAAACATACATAAGACACATTGTATGATGCAGGCATGGTAAAACGTACCGCTTGCTTAAAAAATATGATGGCATGTATGCACGCAAGCATGTTTTTATAAAGGCAGCGGGAGCAAAACTGAGTTCGACTGAACTTGATTGAACAATGTAGTGTCATTATTTTTTGATCAATCCTCATCTTCAAATCCATCAAAGTCCGAATCTTATGGATTGGAAATGAACAGCTGGGGCAAGTTCACAATCAAACGCGCCAGGTTCCCTCGCATCATTGTCAGAGTCAGTCTCGTTGCCGTGCGGCTCCTGCGAAAACTCGAACTACAGCGCAAGCAGACACAATCCATTCACAAATTGTGGCATAACTCGCCCGGTGCTGCTGCGGCTCCTCAGAAATGATGCCGGCTTTTGCGAAAACTCGAACTACAGCGCAAGCAGACGCAATCCATTCACAAATTGTGGCATAACTCGCCCGGTGCTGCTGCCTCCCAGTCTTAGTAAAGCTGTGTTCGCCATTTCGCTCCCACGACGCTTGCAACTTCAGTTTGGCCGTTTCTGTCCATTACCATGGCAACCAAGCACAATAGTAAAAGCCAACTTCTCGCGCTCCGTTGTGCGTATCACGACCGTGCTGGTCCCCCCCCCCCCACCCAAGATGGCGCCGTAGTTGGCAGCCGTCGTCAAGTGCTCTTCAAGAGCCTTGATTTTTTTGTTGTTGTTGTTTTTGTCTTGTCACATGGTGTTTGTTGTTACGTTGTGTGGACCCGATGTGGATTGTTTTCGGCGTTTTTTGGCCACGACATTCGTGAAAGGAGAAGAATCTGTTCTTAGTGGTTGCCCCTTCCCGGGCAGTATTTTTCACAGTCCTGTTTTGTTCAGCGGAGATGGCGGCGCTGTTGGACAGTCTGCGTTGGTGCAACTGGATGGACATGTTCTTAGTGGTTGCCCCTTCCCGGGCAGTATTTTTCACAGTCCTGTTTTGTTCAGCGGAGATGGCGGCGCTGTTGGACAGTCTGCGTTGGTGCAACTGGATGGACAGCTGTTCGAGCCGAGGATGAGCAGAGAGGAGCGTCGGCGTGGAGCGCGGATGCCTATTTGGAACTTAAGAGTCGCCGCTTGGAATTGAAGTGGATACATGGGACAGGAGAGGTGAACCAAACTCTTTTTTCGGCACTACAGCTTCTTGTTGACTTTCAAATTGAGCTTGTAGCAGACGTGTGCACATTTTGAGCATGATGTCTCTGATCCAATGGTGAAAGGACACTTTGATTCGCTCCTCTTTCATCTCGAATTGCTTCAAACAACAAAGCGCATGAGGGTAAAGTGGTTAAGATTGCACGACTGTCCGTGTTTTGATGTTATGTTGTTTATTATTATTTTATTTTTATTTATTTTATGTGAACAGTTTTGTTGCAGCTGCATCGGTTGTGAAAGCGTTGTATAAATCAGGATGTACAGTATTGTATTTTATTGTATTCTCTACAGTGTGGTTCACCGGGCTGTCAAAAGTGAGCGGCACTTCGTCCATGTTGGTGATGTGGTTGGGCTGGTTTGTGGTTTGTCTTCAAACATTTTGTTGTATTTCAAAATGCACAAATGCTTGTCCCTCATCACTTGCCGTAGCCCAAGTGGGATTTTGGAACTCAGTGTATACACAAGACATTATAAGTACATTTTGAAGAAAATTTAAGACTTATAAGTGCGTCTTATGATCGTGAAAATACATTCCTGGCGTGTTTAACTGAATCTGCCAAATGTAATTACATAAAATGTTAACTGATAGTCAACGGATTTGACTTGCGTCTCGAGACCACACACAGGGCAGTGATCAGAACTGTCTCAATTCTATCTTCACCTTTAATCATGACAACCTCTCAAAAAAATGAGAGGATGTAGTCAATCAGTGGAGAGTTAGGTGGAAGAGCCACAATTTCTTTTTGTCTTCAGTGCATAAAAGCCAGGCCAAGCAACAGTGTGAAAAACAAATGTATACTTTCTACACAGGATCTTCTACCAGCAAGCCAGTCATATGACAAAGGACAAGCCCCCAGTTAGAATAATTATCGAATGCAATTGTAAAACTGATATATTCAAACCGGCATGACAAAGCTACAATTCTAACTGGTGCCCTATTTTTTTATTTTTTTTTTATAAAATCACAGCATGAAAGGCAGCTCTGTGTGTGCAACTCCAAGACAAGCTCATAAAGATGCTTTTTTTTTTCCAACCTCTCAAAAAAATGAGAGGATGTAGTCAATCAGTGGAGAGTTAGGTGGAAGAGCCACAATTTCTTTTTGTCTTCAGTGCATAAAAGCCAGGCCAAGCAACAGTGTGAAAAACATATGTATACTTTCTACGCAGGATCTTCTACCAGCAAGCCAGTCATATGACAAAGGACAAGCCCCCAGTTAGAATAATTATCGAATGCAATTGTAAAACTGATATATTCAAACCGGCATGACAAAGCTCCAATTCTAACTGGTGCCCTATTTTTATTTATTTTTTTTATAAAATCACAGCATAAAAAGCAGCTCTGTGTGTGCAACTCCAGGACAAGCTCATAAAGATGCTTTTTTTTTTTTCTTCGAAATGACTCTTGAATTTCATAATTAACCCTTTTCACATGACGTAACCCTTACGTCGAGGAGTGGCACACAGGAGAAGAATGAGTCAGAGCAGAGCAACCCAAGATCGTGACCAAAACCAATTAAGCCCAATTAGCGGGAGGCTCAGCAGTCCATCTTATACCTGTGACGACGATCTTGGGAACGTCCAGAATGGTGCCAAAAGATGCTGTTTTACGATGGCCTCGTTTATACTGCGGGCGTGCTGCAAAAACATATACACATGCATACAGCTGCATACACAAACAAGCGTGCAGACTATGATAGACTCGAAGCCAACTGGACTGGAAAGGCAGGCCAAGACACATGCAGAGTTTACTTTTTGCAAGGGCAACATGCATCCCATTCATTCCAGATGCTGTGAAGTGGCAATGTCTGTCGATATTTGCAGCTAAATATATATTTTTTTCCGCTTCATACAGGTCTGAGCTCCGATAGGTCCTCAGAAAGGCCTCCCTCCAATGTCAATGATCAAGTCTAAATAACAATAAGTTTAAAAAAAAAAAACATCTTAAACTGTCTTCTATTACCTGGTGGGACAAATCCTATTTTGGGCTCCAACTCTGACAGGTCAGCACTCATTCGTTTATTGTCAGAGGATATCAAGCCCTGTGTTCGAGCAGGCAGACTCTCAAAACTACCCCCTCTGGAAAGAGGCAACGTCCTCAAAGGGTCTCCCTGGAAAACCAAATTAAGAGTTACTTAATCTGCAATTGCTTTTTTCAACATTCATCCCCCCCCCCCAAATAAACATAAAATCCTCCATGTGAGTTTACCTT